CCCCCCCCCCCCCAACAAATGAACAAATGTAGCCAGATGGGTCACTTGCTTGCTCATGCTTGGGTTGAGTGGGAACACACCTTCACCTTAATTATAGGCATCTGCCAATATAAGGCCATGCAGGCTTTTTTCCCATTCATCGCTCCTTTGCCTTCATGTATATCATTGAGCACTAATATACACAGCAAATCCATGCCCAAATTAACAGTCAGATTTGATTTCAGCTCTATTAAAGTGTCCATGTGGGTCCACACCAGTGGTTAATTTAACTCTTTTTGTAGAGTTGGTACATTAACTCTGATTTGGTGTTAAATATCAAATCTGTCTGGAGTTGATAATTTAACACCTATTAACATTAACTATGTGTTAAGAGTTTATATAGATAAATACGATACTCTCACAGAGTATCTTACTTTAACTACATAAAAGTTATCTTCTAATAAATGCTGAAAGGTGTAAAGGTTAGAAATTCCTTGGAAATAAACATTTATTAAAAAGAGGCTGTTTTTCTGAAAAAACATTTATTCTGAACTATGCACCATAATTTCAAAACAAAATTTATACAAAATTAAAAATTTCCCGCTCACCCCTGCTGGCGGCCTATCCTTCAAGCTCAGGTCCTCTACCAGAGGCCTGAGAGCTTGAGGGTCCTGCTGTCTTACTTGTTCCCAGGACTGCGCTCTTCTGGACAGAGATCTCCGATGCTGTTCCTGGGATCTGCTGGAGCCACTCACCTAGCTTGGGAGTTAACGCACCGAGTGCTCCGATTACCACTGGGACCACCGTCACCTTCACCCTCCACATCTTCTCGAGCTCTTCTCTGACCACTTGGTATTTCTCAAGCTTCTCATGTTCCTTCTTTCTGATGTTGCTGTATTTGGCGCAGATGTCTCTGTACACAGTCGGCGACCTTTCTGATGATGAGTGCCATCGAAAATTTCCTCAGAAGTCAATGTGCCATTTGATTGCATTAGCAGGGCTGCACTGGGACAAAAAATCGGCCCGGGCATTTTGACTAGCCCATCAGGTATTATAGTAAAAGACATAAAGCCTTTGAACGGAAACAAATGCAGTTGTGACAGTGATGTACACTGTCTTGTTGGTATATGTATGATACATACTCTTAGGGAAGAGGAAGCAGGTTGTCTCTGTCTGTCATTGTCAGTGTTTTAACTTATTTTATTTCATTCTTTTATTTTTATAGCATCGGCTTGTGCTTTGTGGAACTTCTTTTAACGAAGATGGGTTTTGTATTTCGCATGGTTTTATTGGCAATCCTAAGAGTTGTTTGGAGTCATTGCTACTCACAAAAAATTACACACTCACGGGAGTTTCTTCTGGATCTTCTGTTCTTGGGGACTTTAATCGCTACGACTTGAAGGAAACACTGAGCAGTTTTTATCAGTATGTGAACTGTCCCACACGCTTCAATAAGACTCTGGATCTATGTTACGGTTCCATAAAAGGTGCGTATACATCTGTGGCTGGCCCCGCCCTCGGATCCTCGGATCACAACACGGTGCATCTTCTGCCAGTTTACAAGACTGTACTGAGAAGAGAGAAGGTGAGGAGACACCACATAAAGGTTTGGAGTGACGACGCCTCTTTATCCCTGCAGATCTGCTTTGACTGTACAGACTGGTCGGTGTTTAGAATCATGTAGAGATATTAATGAACTCACTGACGTCTGCAGCTATATCTCCTATTGCAGAGACATGATTATCCCCTCAAAGGTTGTGCATTTTTTCCCTAATAACAAACCATGGTCTTCAAAAGCTCTTATGAGGCTGATTCATGAAAGGAAAAAAGCTTTTATTAAAGGGAATATCTTGAAAGTGAGAGAGTTTAGGAAGGAGATTAGATCAGAAATTAAAAAAGCCAAAATAAAATACAAGGATAAGGTAGAGGCGGAGATGGGTAGCAATAACTTAAGGGTTGCCTGGGCAGGCATGAAACACATGACTGGTCACTGTCACAGTGACTGTAATAAGATAAGTCTCCCTGGTTTTAGTTCAGACTCTCAGTTAGCCAATGAGCTGAATAGATTTTATTTGAGATTTAATGACAATTATAATTTAAGGAATACACGTGATTTCCTAATAGAGAAATCCCGTGTATCCCCCCCAGCTTTAGTCTTTAATGAAAGAAGGGTGGAAAATCTTTTTAAAATGAGTAAGACTAATAAAAGTCCAGGTCCTGATAATATTTGTGGCCAGGTGCTTAGAACATGTGCTGAGCAATTATGCAGTATTGTTTATTACATCTTTTTTTTATCACTTCAGCAACAGAAGGTTCCAGAGGTATGAAAAAAATTAATTATTTCTCCAGTTGCTAGGACCACAAAACCTACATCATTAAATGATTTTGGGCCTGTCGCTCTAACATCCCTAGTGATGAAGTCCTTTGAAAAACTTGTCAGGAAGGAGATCCTGCAGCAAGTAGAGAAGCTTATGGATCCACTACAATTTGCATACAGGCCTTGTAGAGGTGTTGATGATGCAGTGGTCACTCTGTTGAACTTCCTCTATCGCCATCTTGATGGCGCCAAAGCTCATGCTCGGCTCTTATTTATTGATTTTTCTTCAGCTTTTAATACTATCCAGCCACATCTGTTGGTTGATAAACTTCTTAACCAGTTGATTTTAATCTCGTTGGTTGGATTTGAGACTTTTTAACTGGCAGATCTCAGTGTGTGAGAGTGAACGGCTGTTTTTCCAAACAGCTGAACTCTTCTACTGGCTCACCGCAAGGTTGTTGTCTCTCTCCTCTACGGTATATTTTGTACACTAATGACTGTCGCAGTGCACAGGCCAACAGGCATTTCATTAAATATGCAGATGACACAGTCATTGTAAGTAGGGTTGCCAACCGTCCCTTAAAATACGGAATCGTCCCGTATTTAGAAACAAAAGCACACGTCCCGTATTGAGCTAATAAGGGACGCACTTTGTCCCGTAATACAGTGAGAATC